TCCGCGGGGCGCTGGCCACGCTTTGTGGCACCGCACCGCCCCCTCCCCCAAGCTCCGAGGTGCGGGGAGAGCGCAGCGCCCGGGGTTCCGGTCGCCCCGCCTCCCACGTGACTCCCCGCGGAACTTCACCCTCCGGCCCCGACGGCCTTGCTGCTGGCATCCAAGTCGTCCTTGTGCGTGCGTCCCAAAGCTCTTGCGTTGCGTTCTCAAGCCGACTTCACCACGCTATTTATTCATCTCATCGCTAAGGTCTACTCTTTTGGTCTGGGAAATTCAGGCTTTTTTCTTTATTGATCTTTAGTTTTCCTACGTGAATTGAGCTTTGTGCCTCCTTGGAGCCAACAGGGTAGGTAGAGTTTTGACTGCTCAGCCCCTCAGATGCCTGAGCACGTGCGTGACTCTGCTTTTTGATGTTGTTCCTAAAGGCAATGTGTTCCTAATTAACTTGCCTGATATTCTTGAAGGATTTGCCAGTAGAGGTGTTCCTATTGGGAAACATCAAAGAAATATAATGCACAACACGTGTTCACATGAAAGTTATTTCTTCTTCCTAAGAGTTCATGGTAGTAAAGGAGAAAAACCTGTGTGGAACAAACTTGTGTTTCATTTCAGTACTGTTAAGGACTATGTAACTAAAGAAGTTACTTAATTTTGTTTTAAAAGTAGGACTAAAATTACCTTGCATTAAATGAACACAAAAAGTAACACCTTTGTGTGTTGAGCAGTGACATAAGTGTAGCATGTACTCACAAATTGGTAGCTATTAATAACAAACATTTAGAAACGTGAAGAAGAAACTCGTCTTAACTCATAATATTGAATAGAACCGTGTGTGTTAGGAATGCCATCAGTCTGAGTGATAAGACCATGGAAAGCATTCATAAGATTTAGAACAGCTTCTGACTTGTTTTTAGTCCCCTGTAGATTGATGTGCTGTTGTCTTGTCTGTAATGACAACACACCCAAGCATTGAGATAGGAACCTTAAGAATTAAATGCATAGTACTGTGTATTTAAACTCATTTTAAAAAATAAAATGTGTAGAAGTCCAGGGGACATTTTCAGAGTGTATTTTCAACACATATTAAGGTCTTAATAACTTTTTTTAGGAAGAAAACCTAAAAATCATTCAGTTTTTAAGTTTAGAGTCATTTCATACTTCACAAATGTATTTTTAGTGTAACGTCTTTTTTTTTTTTTTTTAGCTTAAGCATTTTATGTCACTGAGCATTTTAAGTGCTTTTGCTGATAAAGATATAAACTAGTAAGGTGGTGTGAATGAATAATTTTAGTTCTGTATTTGTTAACTGTAAGCATAAAGTTATACTCCTTTAACTCCTGTGTTGAGGTTATTGGTTGTGGTTGTGTCTTTTGGGTTTCAGATTTGACATATTCCATAAAACTCAATTATTTATTATTGAATCTACAGTTTTAGTACAACCTATCTTCCTTCTTACCATTTCACCTTCTACCTGTAAAAAGACCATTTCATCAAGTTCTGTGAATCCCTCCCTACTTTATCAATTTTCTGCTCATCGGTCTACCTGTAGGATCTCCCCCCACCCCCGGTTCTGGGAATTGAACTCAGAACCTTGCATTTGCCAGGCAGGTGTGGCACCACTGAGCTATATCCCCGGCCCACACTCCCAGGATTTTGTATTATAAAGCTTACACATTTTTATATGTATCATCATTTTCAGTATCAAGCACTACTTGGGTGTGTTTTTGTTTTTTGACTCCCTGATCCCTTTGTCATTAATTGTTGGGCATCGAGTCTTACTTTAACTGGGCAAGAAGAAGACTTCATTCTAATTAGTGATGTGTGGTAATATAAGGATACCAAAGCACAGAGGTCCTTAATAAATAACTGGAGTGATGTAACTAGAAATGGAAAATCAGGGTTTCTGGCTTTTGACTCCAGATCAAGTTTTTCCATTAACTTTCTGAATCATGCGTATTTTTTTTTCCTTTTGAATTGTGGAGTTTTTTTGTAGTTAATGTTAACATTAACATGATTCAGGTGAATTTTAGTTTCTGGATTCTAAATTTGTAGTGAAAACACATTTAAAAATTGTGTTTTGTTTTTTTAAGCAATATTTCTAAGAGCTTTTCATTTTATTTTCAGATGTGGAAATGTAAACTTTGCTAGAAGAACCAGCTGTAATCGATGTGGTCGGGGTAAGTATTTTAAAAAGGTTGCATTAGTCCTCTGTATATTTTCCCTGAATTCATTTGCATTATTTTTCTGTTTTCAGAGAAAACAACTGAGGCCAAGATGATGAAAGCTGGGGGCACTGAAATAGGAAAGACTCTGGCAGAAAAGAGCCGAGGCCTATTTAGTGCTAATGACTGGCAGTGTAAAACGTGTGTATTTCAAATTATTGTCCACACTTCAAATTATATTGTATTCATTCGCTGCTTCTTAATTTTCTATTATTAGAGGCCTTTTGGTCATTATGTGGTCTAATTTCCCATTTAAGTGTAATGAAAAGAAATTGTAGGTATTCTTTTAAAACTAATACTGGTTGTTACTATGATGGGCTATGTGTATCAGTAAATCATTCTTTAAGTTGAACTAATGAGAAAGGATATGATATATTAAAAGTTTTTTAACTCCTTTAGAAGAAAACTCAAAATTTTTAGCATTTGTTAATGTGAAATACATCACAAAATTCATTTTGTTTAAAGCATAATTTTAGAAATGTAAATGGCCTAGCATAAAAAGTTATTCATGATTAGATAGGTTTCTTAATATTTATTTTCAACTTCAGTCTTGGATCAGTGTTGATTTTCCCAACTTCCATCTTTTATACGAATGAATACTACATACATGAAAAAGGACTGAACCAGAAAAGGGTCTTTCATAAATTTCTAGTCCTGTAGATTTTAAATTTGTAGTGGAAAATTTCCTTCCAATGTGTTGAGTAGATTTGGAATGCTATGGAGTTTAGTGCTTCCTTGAGGGGAGACAACTTAACTTTATTTGAAGGTTATAACCCTTACCGTTCTTTAAGATGAATGTAGAGACTGAAAAATTACTGGAACTTTTAACTTAAAATAATCACAATTTGTCTGTTTTTTCAACATCATAACAGTGTTCTTCATCTTGTACAGATTTTATTCTCTGCCTGTGTCATTTGGTCCATTGTGGGAACCCTCAGTCTCTATACCAGTGTATATTTTTTTCATTTATATTCTCTTTTAGTGAACACTGGTTTTGATAGTGATTTTATCCTAATTTTTATTTTGAAATTCAGATTGTCTAATAATTTGTTTTTCTAATACTGTATTTTAGCCTTCTGATATATTTTTTCATTTTTATAGTTGCAGTAATGTGAATTGGGCCAGAAGATCAGAGTGTAACATGTGTAATACTCCAAAGTATGCTAAATTAGAAGAAAGAACAGGTAAAACAAAAACCATATTTACATGATTTCAAAAAGAATAAAAAATTGAATTAATCATAATAGTACCATTGCAAAAGAGCAGCAGCACTAATTGAGGATGCCGCTTTTTCGGACTTCACATCTTCACTGAGAAATTTTTCCCCTTATTAAAAAGAAGTTGCTTTATAATTTCAGTTTATAAAGTACAAGTAGGGAGCCGTGTGCGGGGATATTCGTGTACTTTTAGATAAGCTTGCCACCTGCTTCCCCACGGGTTAATTGGTAATGATACAGTATTTTTTGTTCCTTTGATATTCTAGTACAATCAGGGCAAAGGGGAACTTTAAAAGTTTCCTCTGAAGCTCTGGCAATAATTCTCAAATTTGACTATATGTTAGAATCATATGAGAAACTCTGAAAATGAATTCTTAAGATAGACCTTTTGAAATTCTTTTCAGATGGGTCCTAGAAAAACACAAATTATTGGGGTGATGTTTGATCATTGGCCAAAATTACAATTTACCACTATCTCTGAGTTGCCAGTGGTAAAATGAAACTATCTGACAGAACATAGTTTTCCCATTATCGGCAATTAGCCCAGCCATTTATTTGTACTTCAAGTCCACCTTTATCATTCGCCGTTTTAAATTGTATAAAAATAATGTTGTGTCACTCTTGTCTTGTCATGAAAAAATAATCTTCTGCGCAGTTGAGCCAAAGAGATGGATGGGTGCTTATATGTTTGTTTTTCCAAAGTGAAATCTTTTGTTTAAAACCTTTTTGATTGCTTTTGGGATTAAAGTCTGAAATCTTTAATAGTTTTAAAAATTGTAATCACAATGAACTGTCTTTATTCAAATTTCCCTTGATTTATACTGTGACTCTTAAAGTTTCAGGATAGCAGAAGTTACAGTCTAGTAAACTACTGTTAACACTGTTTATGTGTTAAGTCACTTTATTAACTTCTTTCCATCCTCCCTCCCTCCCTCCGTACCAGAGATTGAACTCGGGTCCTTGCGCTTGCAAGGCAGGCCACCGAACCGCTGAGCTAAATCCCCAGTCCTTTCCATCCTTATATCCTAAACCTTTCCTACTTTCCTGCCTACCTGTCTTTGTTATTGCTGATTACAGTTGAAGGTGCAAAATAACTTAGCTCTTGCCTCTCCACTTGGTCTTGGCGATTTGAAATAAAGCTATCCAAAGTTTATGATAATGCTGAGAGTGATTGTGACTAAAAGAAACCTCAATCCACCATCTCTTAAAGACTGTTCAATTCCATTATGTTGTAATTTACCTAGTCATTCTCCATTTCAGGATTTACAGTTTGGATTTTTGCCTGCTTTTTTTTTTAAGGACCATTAAGGGTAACTGCATAGAAAGTCTTAATACGTTTAATAATAATTCTTCAGAATTATTTTCTTAAAGTCTCAAGAGTTCAGTGAATTGTTCAAAAAAAATCACAAAAATTTTAGGTTATTGTCTGTAGTTTCGTCTCTGAAGTACATGTTTTCCTTTTTTCTCTTCATTTTGGTTATAACCCTAATCAGTACCTTTATTTTAGACATGTTTGATTTGTTACCCTTAGCTTTTTGTATTTTACTGAGACAAATTTGAAAATATTCTCACTGTAGCACTTTTACTGTGAATTTGTATACATGATAGACTCGTGTAGACCAGTATTATATTCTGCACTGTAGTCATTATTGAAAAAGTACTTATACACCACCATCCAATTGGCTGGAATCACCTTGGAAAACAAAACATTGTCTTCTTTGAGAATATATATTTAAGCTAAGAAGAAGATAAATTAACCAAATAACAATTCAAGGAAGTATGACTCAGGCGAGATGGTGCGTATTCAGGGTGGTATGGCCATAGACTCGAGGAACTATCATTCAAATGAGAACAGATAACTTTTGTGAAGAGGCTGAGACTTGAAAACATTTCATATATCGGATAAGCTCCTATTTATAATAGCTCTGAGAAGCCATGTGAATCATACTTAGGAGTTTATGTTTTATTACTATAATTGGAAGAACCTGAGGAATATTTAATAAGGGAGAGACAAGGTCATTTAATTTGAAATGCTATCACCAATTTTTGTACAGAAGAGCGCAGCAGGGAACTGACAAGAATAGAAGGAAATTTTTTTTGCACTCTTGTAATTTTAAAATAGTAGAATTGAAGCATACACACCATTCCTCTATTTCACTTATTTAGTGTAAATGACATTTATGTTTTCTCATGGTAGCATCTTACTGTTTCCCTTGTATAGAGAAAAAGATTATGGATTGACTTTGTTATACAAGTTCATATCACATATCTTAAATAATCTCCTTGTTTTCAAGCTGTTTCTTTTTCTGTTTCTTGTAGGAAAGAATGGGAAAATGTTGAAGTGCTTGCTGGGATAGAATATAATAGAAGGTGTTTTATTGATGTCATTTTTTTTCTTTTTTTTTTTAGAAAATAAAATGAAAACGTGATTTTTTTTTTTTTTTTTTTT